GCTTACTTAGCCCATGATATTTAGATCCCATGAATGACTTAAAAAAGAAGTTATTGCCCATAATGCCAAAATGACACCGTGCATGCACAAACATTCTTACATTCATTCTCTCTGGATCCCCTTACCTTCCCCTGACCACTGGCCAAAGCAGAAAACTCTATCCTAATGGTGTAATCACCTCCTGGAACAAAATATCTAGGTAACTTGCCCCCTCCATGATGTATTGCAGTGTCTGTATTCTGGCCTCTAGCTCATAAATGTAAGCAGCTTTGGCTGCTTAAGCTGCAAACATTTACTGCAGTCATGTTTTCCCTGGATCACACTGGCATGCAGGAGCTCCCACATGGAGTAGCTCTGACACATCACCTGTCCTTCTGTCTTTAATATGTTTTAATTACTTAGAGTCATAGAGTCATACAGCTTGGAAACAGACCCTTTGGCCCTGCTGACTGGGTTTCCTAAACTGAACTAGTCCTATTTGCCTGCATTTGACCCCTATCCTTCTAAACCTTTCCTATCCATGTATCTGTCCAAATGTTTTTTATATGTTATAATCGTACTTGCCTCTACCACTACTGAAATAACTTATTCAATTTTTAAAAAATTTCATTAGCTCAACACTAGTTCCTGTACTATATCAATCTTAATAACGTTAACTATTTATCAGATAGTCAACAAACAGCTAGCTTTTTTTCCCACCGTAGAGAAAGAAACAATTCCTAGAAGATGAAAAAGAAGAAAAAGCAAAGGATTACTATCTTCCTTTCATTGCCTAACTCACCATGCTGCCAGTACTCTGTTCCAAGTCACACTACAGTGAGTTTAAAATGCAGCTGTACAGTGATCTGATCAGACTACAATTTAATGTTGCATTCATTTTTGATTGCCTTGACACAAGTACATATTAAGGCAAGAATTATAGAGAAGAGCCATGAGAGTGATCCCTCGTGTCAGGGTTCTGAGGTAAGACTTTGGATTGTTATTTTCAAGTTCCCCTTAAAAATATGCAAAGAATGATGGAAAGAAATTCCATTCTTTCTCAGAAAGGAGACATCTGAAATGTGACCTTAAAAGGAGTACAAAAGAAGACAACTTACAATTAGTATCTTTCCCAGCTAATGAAATATTTTTGAAGTTTAGTCACTGCTGTAATATAGGGAAATACAACAATTAATTTATTAACAGCAAGCTCCCAGAAAAACAAAGTGAGATAAGTAACCAAGAAATTTGTTTTAATGATGTTGATCAAGTGAGCAATATTGACCATCACACCTTTCCTGCTTGTTTTATGAATGAATGATTGATTGATTGATTGATTTATTGTCATGTGTACCAAAATACAGTGAAAAGCTTTGTTTACGAGTGGGTACAGGCAGATCATAGTAAGCAAAGGATGTACAGATCAAAAAGATTTAGACAGAGGCATACAGGTTACATTACACAGGGCGTGTGCGAGGCGAGATAAATGTTAGTAAGATTAGTGTTATTTGAGGCTAGGGTATCAATTCATGAGTCTGAGAACAGCCAGGAAGAAGCTGTTAATGAACCTGTTCATGCATGTGTTCAGGCTTCTGTATTTTCTGCCTGACGGAAGAAGTTGTAGGAGATCATTACTAGGGTGCGATGGGTCTTTGATGATGTTGGAAGACTTTCTGTGGCAGCGAGCCGTGTAAATAGAGTCCATGGATGGAAGGTTGGCTTCTGTGATGGTATGAACTGAACGAATGAATGAATGATTCATTGTCACATACACAGGGGGTTCTGTTGTAATGCGATGGTTGCATTACTGCACAGCAGCGTGATTTTCTATAATGCGATATAGAAATAATGACCCTATGGGAAATGCGGGTTAGGGGAAGACCACCAAAAAAAAAAATCACTCAAAAATCACTCAAAAGCCTAACACAAAGGATAGCACAGTTTGAATTAATGTTTAATTCTTATCTAATAATGAAATAAAAGTAAATTTAACACCTTATCTTGAAAAAATGTCAAGATGACTTGATGGGAGAAAAGGTTTTTAGGTGCTCTGTTGTTAATGCAGGGGCTGAGGGTCATCATCATCATTATTATCATCACTTTCAGGTGCAGTTGTGGTTGCAGGGTTAGAGCAAAAAAATAGTTAATCCAGAAGTGGATGGCTGTGGTTCATTGTCTTCTGAATGTTGGCTTAAAAATGACATCCAGATTTTGCTGCTTTGCCCTTTTTCCTTCTTTCATGAAGAAGCTGTTCATAAGGTGCCAAATAAGATCTTATTCCACGAACTGCTACCCTGCTGCGTTCTGCATTGCAGTCATTGTTCTCTAAGAGCTGCAACTACTTCTCAGTTTACCTCAGGATAGAAGACAAAACAGAAGTGGAAAGGTCTTGTGGTGCTGCATCCTGGACTTCATCTTCTTCACCTCCAGCTTCCATTTCCCCTTCAGCGACAAGTTGTTGTAGATCAGCTGTAGAGAGGTCTTCACAGTGGGACTCAAGCAGCTCTTCAACATCCTCACTCTCCACTTCTTCAAAAGCAACTTGCTTTGCAAGATCAACACAACGTTCTTTGATTCTTGGGAGCTCCACTGACAGATGAAAGGTTTTAAAATCTTCAAAAATATCTGGGGGAATCTTCTGTCAAACTGCATGCGAGCAGTCCTCACTGACATCACCCTAGGCCTCCATGATAATGTCAATTGCACTCTTGATGTTAAAGCTCTCCCAAAGTTGAAGAACACTGTCCTTATCCCCCCCAGTGGCTGCAATCAGCCTCTTAAATGTGCGCCTTAAATAATAAACTTTAAAAGCTGCTATTGCATCCTGGTCCATGGGTTGAAGGAGAGAGATTGTGTTTGGGGGTAGAAATAGCATTTTGATGTTTTCAGAAAGCTCACCAATGGTAGGAGGATGGCTTGGTGCATTATTTAGGATGAGGTTAACATTGCATATGCTCAGGACCATGCCTGCGAAACAATCATGTGATGTCATCGCGTATTCCTCCGCACACCAATGGAATTGCATTATAGCCGACACAAGTTCACGTTTTAGAAATAGCGTTCCCCTATTTGTCAGTTATATTGTAGCCAATTTCCGTTTCCGGAACATGTGTTATAGCAGAATCTCCTATATCTCGGGAGATATAGTGAAAAGTGTTCGGTTGCCACAATCTGGGGCCGTTTTGAGGTATAAAAAGAATAAAAGAAACTATTTAAATAGAGCTCATCTTCATCTGCTGGCGTCCCAAACACAGCTGTTCGCTCTGCAAGGTCCCCACCCCGGGCCTACCGCAGCCAGGAGTCCCTGTTCCACCATCGCTGCAGCCAACATCCCGCTGCCTTTCCACAAGACAACACACAGGCAGCATTCACTCCCGACTGCATTGATAAATCAGCCTAGACTATGTGTTGAGGTTTGGGATTTGACTCTGTGGTCTGCTGATACCCTGGCTAAGATAATAAATGTTATTAGAAAGGTAAATCTGGAAGACTGAAATTAAAATGTGAATATTGGAATGAAACAAATGAGTAAAAACTAATTTTAGGGCTGCATTCAATAAATTTTTCTCTACACAGAGGGACAACAACACTTGGAATAAGCTTTCAAATAGAATTACAGAGGCAAAAAACATGGGTCAAATGGTGTTCCTTATGTGTAATTATCTTTCGATCAAGTGTAATAATATCCAACTAGATAGAGGATTTAGCTTCAGGCCAATAATGCCTCACTGCAACACTTTCTTCCTTAGAAGTCCCTCTGGACTACTAATATAGTTTAACCTATTTTTCTAATCAATTTGTTCAGAGATGTCATTACACACCTCTGGAGTAGGTAGGGCTTGAACCCAGGAAAACAGTATTTCTTATTGTATCAATATAGTGTTTACAACATTAGCACCTAAAAATTCAATAATGTTCAAACTCTGGATTTCATGTACTGGATCAATAGGAGATTTTTTTAAAAATTCATTGACGGGAAGAGGGTGTTGCTGGCTAAGCAGCATTGATTGTCCATCCCTAATTGCCCAGAGGGCATTTCAGAGTTAACCACATTGCTGTGGATCTGGAATCACATGCAGGCTAGACCAGGTAAAGATGGCAGTTTCCTTCCCTAAAGGACATTAGTGAACCAGATTGTTTTTTCCAACAATCAACCATGGATTCACAGTTATCATTAGATTGTTAATTCCAGAGTTTTGTATTGAAATCAAATTCCACCATCTACCATAGCGGGATTCAAACCCGGGTCCCCAGAACATTATCTGGGTCTCTGGATTAACAGTCCAGTGATAATACCACTAGGCCATTGCCTCCCCTCCTTTGGTCTACCTATGCCATTTGTATTGATGTGCACAATGACCTCTGGCTGTTCACCCTCTCCCTTCAGAATGTTCTGCAACTGCTCAGAGACATCCTTGACCCTGCCACCCGGGATGCAACACACCATCCTGGTGTCTCTTCTACAGCCACAGAATCTCCTGTCTGTCCCCCTCACAATTGAGTCTCCTATCAGTATTGCTCTGTCTAACTGCACCCTTTCCCTATGAGGCTCAGAGCAGGTCACAGTGGCACTGACCTGACTGCTGCTGCTAGTCCCTGAAAGGTCATCCCCTCAACAGTATACATAAAGGTATACCTGTTATTGAAAGGAATGACCACAGAGCTGAGGATCAAATTCTATTGTCCCAAATGGCTTCATTTACATTCCTTATTTGAATGAATATCTATTATTGACATTTAATTGGCCTTTATTTACATCGCTTCTTTAAAATAAAATGACTTTTTTAGCATTTGCTGTGACATTCCTCCTTCCCAAACCACCACGTATTTCATAAAATGGCAAAGTATACTTGCCATTGCAAGTTCAGCTGCACTGCAATTAAAAAGAATGGCAGTAATGATGTTTGAACGTGTTGCAATAGAATAAAGGCTAAATATGTATACATTTCCACTGCATCTAGTCTTTGGCAGGTTCTGTACTAATTCTGCAGTTGCATTTATTGTTTCTTTTTGTCACACAGCTGAAAATGTGGCCAAAGCAATACAGACAGAAGAATCTTTGTCTCCCATCACTTCCTTTTCTCCTCATAATGTCCTTCCAAATTTAGAGAAGAAGCCTGTACATAGTGAGGTAACCTTTACATTGAATTTTTATTTCAACCGCACTTCAGTTATAACATGCCCTGTTGTTTGTCAATTAACTGATACAAAGTGATTTTCAAAGTAGTTGCACTAAATACCAAAGAATAATTTACTATTTCCATTGGCATGGATGATTCTATTACAGTGGTGGTTAAATTGATAGGTTCACTTTCGGTTGCAACTGACACAAATGGAAGAAGCCTGGTTTGAGTTAGCTAGTCTCATTGAGAATTGCGATTGGGCTCCTACAATGAGTTAAGGGAGGAAGGGGGCTGAAGTCAAGTCTGGTTATTCTTGCTGACTGCTATTTCTTCATCCCTACAAAAACATGTGTACACATGTTTTGAGTATCTCTATGACACTCACTGTTTAGGCTTATTGTTGAAGACTACATTGCTGTGAGGCTTCTAAGGACGTCAGACACCCAGCATGAAACATGCCTTTAAGTGCCTTGTCTATGTCAAGTTAGATGGCATGCAGATGTGGTGGTCATTCTGCGTGTTAATTTTGTTCTATTACTTGAAGGTAAATTATGCTATTGAATTAAGTAACTCCCATTTTAAAGGCTATTCACCTTGCTGTGAAATAAAGCAGCTTAAGTTCTCTTGTGTTACAGCGCTAGCATCCTTACCCCTGGACTGAGAGGCCCAGGTTCAAACCCCACCTGCTCCAGAGGTGTGTAATAACATCTCTGAACGGGTTGATTAGGAAAAATAGGCTAAATAAAGAAGCAAATGTGAACTGAAGCGGCTTGAGTCCTCTTGTGGTTCAGTAGTAGCATCCTTACCCTTGAACCAGGAGGCTTGGGTTCAAGTCCCACTACTCCAGAGGTGTGAAAGACATCAATGAACAGGTCAATTAGAAAAATAGATTGTTTAAAAAGCAGCTTATCAATTTGAATCTGGCCTTATTTCATCAATGTTGCTTTGATACTACCTTCTATGATATTGAAAATATACACACTCAAAAAAAATCCAGGCCAGCTCACAGGAAATCTAAAAGTCAACCAACAGAAACAGCAAAATCTAAAGATGTTGAGCAAGTCAAAAGGGTCGGAGGCAGAAATAATGAGTTTAGTGGCAGAAGTCAAGAATCATGGGACTCAAAGAGAAAGGTAATCTCAGTCAAATGATTGTGAGTTTAAGGTGATGGAGTAAGAATCTATACAGGGAGAAGTGCAAGACAAATGGAAAGAATAGAGAGCATGAAAGCAGAGTACTTTGCAGGAAGAAATTAAAGGATACAAATTTGAGGTCAATGAAGACAAAGATTGCCAGCATGAGATAGAATAGAGAAAGAGCCAACATAAGCCCACAGGGAAGGATCAGCAGAGACTCTAGAACTGGAACTCTATCAAATCTTAGTTTGTACTTTAAAGAAAGGGATATTATTGTTAGATTTATCTGGTATTTGAATTGTGAGCTTGTCAGTATAATCAAGAGAGAAATAAATGAGCCAGCAGACTCATGACATTACTGAGCAGAAAAAGGTCTCTCAGCTATTCTGCTGTCGTTGCAGACTTTGATTTTAAACTATGTGCTGTTTTCAGGGTTTGTGATATAACATCTCAATCAAGCCTATTCTTGTCTTCAATGCATTTTAATTTTAGAATACATTAGATAAAACAAAAAGGAGCTTGGAATTCTGAATCTGTCCTTGACCTCAGTGAGATTGAGGAGAACTGTAGCATTCCCCACAACGACTTCCAATTGAGGTCTGCCAGCTTAGAACCAACCAGAGATGGAACTGGGAGACTTGGGTCTGCACCAAACTCTCAGGCAATCACCTTGGCTCAGTACCGTTGTCATTATCATTGCAATGCTTCCACTGAATGAAATGCTTTATTGGTTTCTGTTCTGCTGTGTACCTTGATTTTTGTTATGTTTGTTTAATTGAAGTAGGATGCCAGAGGTGAGTGACAGCAGCTGTATGATGCCCAGTCATATAATGAAGCTTGGGACAGTAGAAAATAATCCCTCAATAGCAGTGGTACCATGCTGCTGTTATCACACTGACCTAGAGATCACACTCTTATCAATATTCAAAAGCTTATTTTAAAAATAACTATTTTACAATGCAACAGAAGGAAGCACCAAATGAAGCTGATGATGATTGCAAAGCATCAAAAAGACAACTCAGAAAGGAAGACAGTGAATTAGATTCTGAGATGGAGAGACTAAGAAAAGGTGAGCCTTTCATATTCTCTACAGAAACTCATCTGAACTGAAAGTAATCAATTATAAGAAATAGCATGAGAGACAACAAATATGTTTTTAAAATTTGAGTCCTAAAATGCTACACCACAGAGGGTGCATTTTCCTAAAATCTTCATTCAGGTCCTCATTTGCTGTGCTGTTCAGGGAAGGTGGACTGAGGCCAGGAAGTAGGAGTGTAAGGTTTGGGTGTGGGAGAAGGAGAGAGAGTAAAATTGGAGTTCTCTTGCACAGAAAGGTTCACCATCTGACCAATTGTTCAGGAATGAAAGATATCCAAAAGAAACAGGGAGAGGAGAACTCTCTCTTCAGGAAGTAAAAATACTGTGAAGATTCTGAAGCTGCCCCATTTTGTTGGTGACAAATTAAAGTTTTCTATTTGTATACTCAGTGTTCTTTGTCTCCACTAATAATGATCATATGAATAATTAAAAACAGATATGAGAGGTAGTCATAGAGTCATACAGCAAGGAAACAGACCCTTCGGTCCAACTCGTCTATGCTGACCAAGTTTCCCAAACTAAACTAGTCCCACTTGGCCCATATCTCTCTAAACCTTTCCTATTTATTTACCCATCCAAATGTCTTAAACATTGTAACTGTACCTGCATCTACCACTTCCTCTGCCAATTCGTTTCACATACAAACCACCCTCTGTGTGAGAAAAGTGCCCTCAGGTCCCTTTTAAATCTTTCTCCTCTCACCTTAAAAATATGCCCCCTAGTTTTGAACTCCCCTACCCTAAGCAAAAGACCTTTGCTATTCATCTTATCCATGCCCCTCATGATTTTATAAACCTCTAACATCCCTCAACCACCTATGCTCCAGTGAAGAAGTCCTAGCCTATCCAGGCTCTTCTCATAACTCAAACCCTCCAGACCCTGCGATATCCTGATAAATCTTTTCTGAACCCTCTCCAATTTTATAATATCCTTCCTACAGCAACGCAACCAAAACTCTACACAGAACTCAAAAAGTGGCCTCGCCAACATCCTGTACAACCCCAACATGACGTTCCAACTCCTTTACTCAGTGGTCTCAGCAATGAAGGCAAGTGTGACAAATGCCTTCTTAACCACCCTGTCTACCCGCGACTCAACTTTCAAAGAACTAAATACCTGAACCCTTGAGGTCTCTCTGTGCGACAACACTACCCAGGGCCGTACCTTTGACTGTGTAAGACCTGCTGTTGTTTGTTTTACCAAAATGTAACACTTCACGTTTGACCAAATTAAACTCCATCTGCTACTCCTCAGCCTTTTGGCCCAGTTAATCAAGATCCCTTTGTAATCTTAGATAATCTTCTTCACTGACAACTCTACCACCAATTTTGGTGTCATCTGCAAACTTACTAACCATGCCTTCTACATTCTCATCCAAATCATTGAAATAAATGACAAACAACATTGGGCCCAGCACCGATCCCATTTCAACTTGTTTGTTGAGGTTGCATTGGCACTAGTTTAAATAACAATGGGGAGCAGGTTCTTCTGTCCATTATTTTTCTAAGGCTGAAGCTAGGATTCGGAGAGATCAACATACTCAGAGCCAGAAGGTTGAGTGGTATTTTGCATTCAAACATTTACTAAGTTCATCCAAATCTTCTATTGCCAGTGGCTCCACATCAGTCAGACGTGAAGAAAATAACCTCTTTTTTTAACAAGAGGAACATATTTTTGGTTTGGTTATCACATGATAATTTCCAGAAATCTCATTTGACTGTCAGATTGCCTTATAAAAGACCAGAACGGTGGCACCCTAGAAGTCTTTTTTTTGTTACATTACATATATTGAACTGTTATAAGTGTAACTTTATTGAAAGGAAGGGAAAGATTGGATGATGTAGTGGCTTAGCACAATAGTCCTTCAACTCTGGTATTTGGACTTCATGCTGCCTCAGAATGCTGGAGTGAGAGCCTCATCTTCCAGCAGTGTGTAACTTGGCTAGAATGAACACGGTCACCAGTAGGCTTGGCCACAGCCACAAATAAATTCCTAATTTCCACTAATCAGCGATCTTACTTCGAGGAACTGTTAGAATGGGTATTGTAGGGAATGGAGATGTCATGGCAATGTTGTATGGCCTGGTGTTTGGACGTTGAGCAGCAGAAAGAAGGGCAGGAGGAAAAAAAGTTCATTTGTTAGGCACCTCATTACTTCTTCCAGACACTCCAAAGCTATTTAAAACTCATGACCTACTTTCCGTTGCACAATCGCCATTTTATATGGGCAAATACCAATCAACTCTCAGAAAAGAGCTAATATATGATTGGTCAGTTTATCGCTTTTTCTTTCAAGTGTGTTTTCTAAGGGAGAGTAGCTTCCCACTGTTCTATATCTACAAAAAAATGCTTTATTGACTCTGAAATGCTTTTGGATACCACTACTATACAAATTGAATTGTTCCCTTCTCACCTCCAACTCTGCCCAACCTGGGTCTACTCTGAAGTATCAAATAAGATTATATGCTCAGATTAGTAGTGGGTTTGAACAGGTAACCAAACACCAGATTGAAATGCAAAAGTGACAATTACTGATACCAGATTTAAATTGAAAAATGACAATAACTGAGATAAGACGACAGAAGATTTATTCTGTACTGTTTTGTCATCTACACTCCAAATCCACACTCCATTACTTGGCTATTGACTCCATCCCTCTCCCTCAAAACAATCCAAGAATTAACTAGTCTGTTTGCAACCTTGGTATCACATTTGGCCCCAAGCTGAGCATCAGGCCTCAAATACATGCCATCACTAAGATAGCCTATTTCCATCTTTATACATCTTCTCATTCCATCCCTGCCTCGACTGATCTGCTGCTGAAGCTTTCATTTGTGCTCTTGATGCCTGTAGGTTCAATTATTCGAATGTTGTTCTGGTTGGTGTCCATTTTGTGAACTTGATGTCATCCAAAAATCAGCTGCCTGAGTCTTAATTAACAAGAATTCACCTATCACCTCCTATGCTGGCTAACCAAATTGTCTCCTTACAACACCTTGATTTTAAAATTCTCATCTATGTTTTCAAATCCCTTCTTAGCTTTTCCCCACCCTTTCTCTGTAATATCCTCCAGCCCCACAACTCAGAGATACTTGCATTCATCTAATCATCTAATTTCATCCCCAAGTTCAATTGCCATGCCTTCAGCTGTCTCGACCCAGAGCTGTGCAATTACTTCCCAACACCTCGCTTCCCTTCCCAATTCCAGCACCTGGTAAAACATAACTGGAAACTAAGTCAGCACCTTCAAGAGAGCAGTGGAAAACTACATTTGAAAAGAAATTTGAAAAAAACGATGATATAATAATACAATTCAGGATTGGTGAAGTACACATAAGAAAGAATCACAGAATTGTTACAGTGCAGAAGGAGGCCATTCAGCTGACGGTGTCTGCAACTGCTGTTCAAATGGGCATCATTTCTCGTGCCAATCTCCTGCCTTTTCTCCATAGCCTTGTGCACTATTTCTATCCAAATTGTCATCCAATACCCTCTTGAATGCTTCAATTGAAACTGCCTCTGCCACATTTCCAGACATTGCATTCCAGACCCTAACTACTGTGTGAAACTGCGTTTTCTCACATCATCTTAGCTTCTTTTACATGTCATTTTAAATCCATGACTTCATTCTTGTTCCTTTTACGACTGGTAACAGCTTCACCCAGTACTCTATCCAGCCTGGATCACAGGAAACAAATATAACATTGTATTGGTTGTATTGGCAGACTATTATGGAACAGCTTTTTAAATTTCTTTTCATCGTATATGGGCTTCTCTGGACTAGACCAGATTTTATTGCCTAATTGCCCTGGAGAAGGTGGTGGAGAGTTGTCCTCTTGAAACGTTACAGCCCTTGGTATGTATGAATACCATAGTGCTGTTAGGAAGGGAATGACAGTATTTTGACCCAGTGACAGGGAAAAAATGGCATTATAGTTCCAAGTCAAGATGGTGTATGACTTGGAGAGGAACTTGTAAGTAATGGTGTTCCCCCATGCATCAGCATAGCTAGATGTTGGTGGAAATGAAAGTGCTGTTCAAGGATCCTTGGTGTGTCACTGCAGAGTACCATGTAGATGGTGCAACTGCTGTTGTTGTGGGTTGGTGGTGAAGAAAATGATTGTTGATAATGGTGGATCAGGTGCTAATCAAGTTGAATGTTTTCCCGTGAATGGTGTCAACATTCTTGAGTGCTGTTGGAGCTGCACTCATCCAGGCATATGGAGAGTATTTTATCATACTCCTGATTTATAGATGGATGGACGGGCACTGGGGATATAGAAGTTGAGTTACTCACCAGAGAATTCCTAGTTTCTGACTCACTCTTGTAGCCAATGTATTTATATGGCTGGTCCAGTTCAGTTTCTGGACAATAGTAACTCCCTGGATGTTGAGAGTGAGAGATTCAGTGATGGTAATACTATTATTGTCAAGCAGAAATGGTTAGATTCTCTTTGTTGGAGATAGTCATTTCCTGGCGTTTGTATGGCACAAGGTATTGCTTGCCACTTATCAGGCTTATATTATCCGGGTCTTGGTGCACATGGACACAGATTGCTTCAGAACCTGAGGAGTAGCAAATGATTCTGAACATTATGCAGTCATCAGGGAACATCCCCTCTTCTGAATTTATGCTGGAGGGTTGATCATTGATGAAGCAGCTGAAGATGGTCAGGCTGAGGACAGTACCCTGAGGAACTCCTGTTGGGATATTTTTGGACTGAGACGATTAGCCTCCAACAACTGCAACTATCTTCTTTGGTGCTCAGTATGACCCCAACTGGCAGGGGGTTTTCTCCAACAACTCCCATTGCTTCCAGTTTAATTAAGGCCTCTTAATGCCTCACTAGGTCAAATGCTGTCTTGTTGTCAAGATCAGTCACTCTCAGCTCTCCTTTGGAGTTCAGCTCTTTTGTCCATTTTTGCACCAAAGCTGTAATCTGATGAAGAGCCGAGTGGCCCTGGCAAATT